TGTGGAGGAGTTGCTTGCTTTCTTTAGCCATTATGGACTACCCAGGGAGATTCAAATCAGACCAAGGGTCCAATTTTACTGCCAAACTATTTAACAAGGTCATGGATAATTTAGGCATCCAACACTTTAAATCAAGTGCGTACCATCCTGAATCCCAGGGAGCATTGGAAAGGTGACATCAGACCCTAAACACCATGCTGAGGGCTGATTGCCAGGATTACCCAAATCAATGGGATAAGGGTATCCCATTTATATTATTTGCAATTAGAAATGCTCCAAATGAATCAACTTCGTTTACTCCATTTGAATTGATATTCAGACATGACGCAAGAGGGCCTTTAAAATTAATTAAGGTAAAGTTGACAGGTCTGAAGTCAGAGATCTCACAGCTGGATTATGTATCTGAAGTGAGAGAAAGATTAAACAGAGCAAGTGAATTAGCTAGACAACATTTGAAGGTGGCACAGCACATAATGAAGCAAGAAGCAGATAAGAAATCTAAAATTTGTACGTTTGCCCATGGGGATAAAGTATTGGTGTTGTCACCAGTGGTAGGAGATCCCTTCAAAGAAAGGTTTAGTGGTCCCTATCAGCTTGAGAAGAAGTTAAGTCAGGTGAATTATCTGGTAAAGATGCCAGATAAAACAAAAATTTATCAGGTATATCGTGTGATCATGCTGAAATCTTACTATGATGGGAAAGGGAACCAGAGGAACAGGTATTAGTTACTGCCACTCAGTAAGGAATCAAATCCAGATGATGTGGATTTTCATGTGCCTCAGAATAAATTGAATAATGAGGAAGGCCTTAAAGAATGGGATTGGGTAGTAAGCTGTCTCAGGAACAGAGAACTGAATTGAAAGGCTTGCTGCAGCACTATGAGGACATTGTACAATAGACTGGGGAGGACCAATACCATAGTACATGAGGTTGACGTAGGGAATGCAGTTCTGATAAAGCAACACCCCAACATGCTTAATCCTCTCAAAACAGCACAGGTACAGAAGGAAGTGAAAGCGACGCTCCAAGAAGATGTCATTGAGCAGAGTCAAAGCGAGTGGAGCTTGCCGATCATGTTGGTTCCCAAACCTGTTGGTACTCAACGATTCTGCATAGACTATCAGAAGGTCAATGCTGTGACTAAATCAGATTCATACCCAATTCCAAGGCTGGAGGACTGTGTGAAAAAAGTTGGACAAGCCACTTACCTCACAAAGTTGGGCTTATTTCGTGGTTACAGGCAAGGACCTTTGTCGGACAGAGCGAAAGAAGTTTCTGCGTTTGTAACTCCAAATGGGTCAGTATCAATTTAAAGTAATGCCCTTTGGAATGAAGAATACACCAGCCACATTTCCAAGACTTATGAACAGAGTTGTGGCAGAATTGACTAATTGTGCCATTTATATAGATGACTTGGTGATCTTTAGTCATTCATGGAAAGATCACGTGGTGCATTTGGCAGAGCTCTTTGAGAGACCAAGGCAGGCAAATTTGGTTATAAATTTGGCAAAGACTGAATTCACTAAGGCGGAAGTGATGTTCTTAGGATACACATTGGACATGGACGGAGGACACCAAGGAACATGAAGACAAAGGCCATGAGGAATTTCCAAGACCATCCTTGAAGTAACAGGAATACAGAGTACTGGACTAATGGTAAGATTCTTGGTAGTGTGGATGAGCAGAGAGATCTCGGTGTCCATGTGCATAGATCACTGAAAGTTGCCACCCAGGTTGATAGCGTTGTTAAGAAGGCGTACAGTATGTTAGGTTTTATTGGTAGAGGGATTGAGTTTCGGAGCCATGAGGTCATGTTGCAGCTGTACAAAACTCTGGTGCGGCTGCACTTGGAGTATTGAGTACAGTTCTGGTCGCCGCATTATAGGAAGGATGTGGAAGCATTGGAAAGGGTGCAGAGGAGATTTACCAGGATGTTGCCTGGTATGGAGGGAAGGTCTTATGAGGAAAGGCTAAGGACTTGAGGCTGTTTTCGTTAGAGTGAAGAAGGTTAAGAGGTGACTTGATAGAGACATACAAGATGATCAGAGGATTAGATAGGGTGGACAGTGGGAGCCTTTTTCCTCGGATGGTGATGGCTAGCACGAGGGGACATAGCTTTAAATTGAGGGGTGATAGATATAGGACGGATGTCAGAGGTAGGTTCTTTACTCAGAGAGTAGTAAGGGCGTGGAATGCCCTGCTTGCAAAAATAGTAGACTCGCCAACTTTAAGGGCATTTAAATGGTCATTGGATAAACATATGGATGATAATGGAATAGTTTAGGTTAGATGGGCTTCAGATTGTTTTCACAGGTCGGCGCAACATCGAGGGCCGAAGGGCCTGTACTGCGCTGTAATGTTCTATGTTCTATGAAGAAGGAAGTGCTACGATTTTGGGGCTGAGTGGATTCTGCAGGAAGTTTGTACCAAACTTTAGTAGCATGGTGGCACCACTGTCTGATTTGTTAAAGAAGACTACGAAATTTCGATGGACAGGGGACATTTGGGAATTTAAAAGCAGTTTTAACCACTGCACCTCATTTTAGCCACACCAAAATTCTTGAAACCCTTTAAAGTCGCTATCGACGCAAGCGATATAGGGGTTGGAGCTGCGTTGTTATGGGAGGATAACTGCGGCCTTAAAAGGCCAATTGGTTATTTTTCAAGGAAACTCAATGGTCACCAGAGAAAAGGTTCAACCACTGAAAAGAAGTTATTGAGTTTGGTACTGGCCTTACAAAATTTTAATGTTTATGTTGTAAACATTATATCAGAGACAGTTGTGTACACTGATCACAATCCTTTGACATTTCTGGAAAGATTTAAAGACAAGAACACCAGACTACTGCATTGGAGTCTTATGTTACAAGCATTATTTACAGACTGTACATGTTGCGGGTCGTGAAAATGTTACTGTGGGTGCATTATCGTGGGTTTAAAAGGAAAATGTGGATATAAGATAATAACAGTAGTGTTCATAATATATATTTTACACAAACACGTGTGTATGTATAGAATTAGTATGAAATGTGAGACTCTAGATTAATGACCCACGTATCTGTTAACAATGATGGTAAGATTTCGAGAAACAAAAATGAAGTCATCTTTTCATAATGATGGTTCATTTTTTCTTGGGGGGAGGTGGTGTTGTGAAGTTGGTATAGTACTTGTGGATCAGAAAGCAGGACGTTAGAATTTGTTTGTAAAAGGATGTGGTGGGGGTGAAAAAGAGTGCTTGGTCCCTTTAAAAGTAGATTTTTAAAAATGTCTGCAGGCAGCAGCAGATGCACAGAGCTCTTGAAATTGAAACGTTGTATCAAAAGGCTATCCTGTGAGCAGGCAAAGCAGGATTTTTACCAAGACAACTGGTTTTTGAATTTCGCCAATTAATTTCAACCAGGCCATACATACCAAAGCCAAATTAAATTTAAATCTGATGGTTTTGACAATCTCGGACCAGTCCTACCCTAAGAAATTAGTAGGTCATCAAGGGTATAAAAGAAGAGGGCATTTGAAAACAAAAATCAGTGAGAGCAACTGTCATCTGTTAAGAGAACAGCTCTCAATACCCATCAGCTCTTTCATTTAATCATCCCCTACATAGTGACCAGCTCAAAATAAAATACCAGGAGAAGCAGCAGTTCCAGCAAGCAACAAACATCCACAATAAGATTTCAATGAACCTAAAGCATCATTTTCCTCTTTTTCGTTATAAGCAAAGCATGTCAACTTCGTAAAAAATCACATTATTGTCTTTTCTGAATTCTGTTTGTAGTTTAAAGTAGAACAAGTGAGTTTTAAAACCAAGCACTGTGGAAGGAAATGCTGCACATTTTAAAAACAAGTCACTGAACCCTGTCATGAGTGCTGTTTACACTGATTCTTTGTTCACCCAGTTTCAGTAAGCTGTCACTTCTACCCAGTATCTAAGAGACTTTGTATTTATTGTATTAATTATCCTACGCCTTCTGCAAAGTAGTGAAAGAATCTCGAGAAAGGAGTTTGAAGAACAGAAAGTCCTAGCAAGACAAAAGGAACATCTCAATGAGCCCTGTGAACTGGTGCTATTGAACTGTGTTTCCCAGTTTGTTTCCCTTCCACCAATAACACTAATGTGTTTAGGTTTGTCTGGATCTGTCTGGTGTACAGGTTTGAGAAGGGGATTAGAGTTCTAACTGGTACAGCCATATGTCAATATTCATAACTGTTCACTTGTGATAAGCATTTACTTATTTGTACTAAATACCAATTCTTAAGTGCAGGAAACTGGTCAGTGTATGCTGAATTTGATTCCAATGGACAGGTAAATTGGGGATTTTACGTCTTTTGATGAAACCATTAACTTTTGCAGTGACCGCAGGAGTTGCAGGGTTTGAGAATCAGTGCACCCTCCCAACTGGGTTGTAACAATTTGTCCACTAACCATAGCAATGAAACTGAGTCCCAGAGACCGAGAACAAGCCTGTCACCACATGATGTTGTGGCTGCAGCATTCCTAAGTTTCTTAGTGCTTTACAAGTTAGATAATGACTCTGGACCAGACAACAGAGAAAGGTTCAAACATCATGAAATAGCTTTTCAAACAAAACCTTAAGTGATCTTATTTTTCACCTCACACGGACAGTAAGCATCAGCAAGCCAGAAGGAGGAGAAGAATTCCGAGTGGTGTCCTGGGTCAATAATTCATCAACTAACCTGCATCCCTCAAGCCAGCTCACTAAAACAGATCTTCTGGTCACTGAATTTTATACAATCCTGCTGTGCGCAAACTGGGGCTGCATTTCCTTGCATTAGATAGTGAAAAATGAATAAATGGGTTGAGAGCACTCTGGGACTTTGAGGTTGTAAAAGGTACTATATACACATGTATATATGTCTTTACACATTCGGTTACCCAGGGGTCTATAAAAGGGAAGAGAAAGAAATAATCAAGGGAAATATGACAATTTACTTTTTAAAAAGATATAGTTAGATATGAAAGTGAGGTTAGAAAAACTTACCAAACTCGTCCACTTCTTTGCGCTTGCTTTCTAATTTACTGATGAGCTCTTCTAACTTGCATTGTTTTGCTAAGATTTTAAAATCTTCAACATTTTCAACTTCAATATCCAAGTGGCCTGTGGAAACACAGGTAACCATTAAAGCTGGTAACTGCGATTTGGGGAATTAAGCAACAGCCAACACAGATTATTAAAGATAAATTATTCCCAACAACCTCAATTTAATGAAATAAATAGGCCAACCAGGTAACAAACATGTACATGGACTTTCAAAAGGCTTTTTCATGAAAGTGCCACATAATAGATTCATTAACACAGTATAATCCCATAGGATGAGAGAGCATGGAGCATAATTAAGTTTGAAGATGGAGAGACAATGTCAAGAGTAGTCATTTTTCAGACTTAATGTCGGCACATAGTGGAGCTCCCCTGGCATCGGTGTTGCCGACGTAATTTGTAGGACCGGTATATGGCGATATAATTTAAGAGTTTGCAAATGTGGTAATTAATGAGGATTATAGATGTCAGGAGGACCGGTACAGTGGGCAAACACAGCAGGTGAAATTTAATGTGGGGAGTGTAAATAATGAATTTTTGAAGGAAAAAATGATAGGCAATATAAAATAAATAGGACAATTTTAAAGAGGAGCACAGAAATAGAGGATGCTGGAAGTTCATATGCACAAATGTTTGGAGGTGGCATGTCAATGCGATAAAACTGTTAAAAATTGATGTGATTCAAGGATTTACAAACATACAAAGGGAAATCTTTACAAAATTATAGATTAGATCTTACAGTAGATCCAACTTTGGTACCACACTGGGATTATTCTCAGAGCAGAGAACGTTAAGGGTTGAATAAAGTGGAGATATTTAGAATTATGGAGAGCTTCGATAGAGTAGATAGGGAGAAACTGTTCATATGGCAAGTTATGAGAATGGAATGCATTTTCTGATTCAATCATAAATTTCGATAAAGGCAAATCAGATAAATACTTAATAGGAAAAATCTACAGAGCTATGAGGAAGTGAGCAGGTGTATGGAACTAATCAGACAGCTCTTTGAAAGAGCTATTACAAACATGATACAGTACTGGGTGATTTTGAAATATCAACAGGCTGTGACACACCAACGCTACTGAAATAGGCAAAAGTACACACAGGTCCTTAGAAAAATGGTAAACAACATGCAAAAGGGACAAATGCTTAAAATGAGGAAAAAAAATAGGGAAAGGATGAATAGATGTATCTAGTAGGGGAGCTAGTACATACAGGATGACCTATAATAGGGCCTCTTTTGCACCAAATTCTTGAAATTCCTTAAAACATTATTTTCACACTTTTTACATCTTCTACATCTGCACAAGAAGTCGAGCGAGACTTGAAATAAGTGTTTTTTGTGGCAATTAAACATTGTAAATTATAGTCTTTGCTGTAATGTAGAAATGCATCAGCCAGAGACATTTTTTTAAATTCATACACAGAATGTGGGTGCTAGTTGGCAAGGCCAGCATTTGTTGCCCATCCCAACTTGTTCTTTGACAGCAGTTAGGAGTCAACCACATTGCTGTGGTTTTGGAGTCACATATAGGTTAGATCAGGTAAAGATGTCAGATTTCTTTCCACAAAGGATATTAGTAAACTGGATAGGTTTTTAACAATAATAGACATTGGCTTATTATGGTCACCATTACTGACACTACTTTTTAATTTCAAATTTATTAATCAAATTTAAAACCCATCTGCTGCCATGATGGGACTTAAAGTCATGTCTCCAAACCATTGCTTAAGACAAAAAAACTGCAGATGCTGAAATCTAAGGTAATCAAACAGGAGGCTGGAAGAACACAGCAAGCCGGGCAGCATCTGCAGGAAAGGAGCAGTCAATGTTTCGGATATAACCCTTCTTGCAGTCCTGAGGAAGGACAGTATCAAGAGATCGTTCATTCAAGAGGGTACATGATACTTCAGATTAGCATCTCACCTGTAAAATGGCACCTCCAACTGTGCAGCACTCCTTCAGTACTGCACTAAGAGGGTCAGCCTAGAATCGGTGTTTCCTGGAACAGGGCTTGAATCCACAAACATGAGACTTAGAAACGAGAGTGGTATCAACTGGGCTCATCACCTATACTCCAATTTCTCCAATGCATAACAAATAAGGCAGCACATTACATACCTGTATAGAAATATTGCAGAATTGCCCTGAAAGCCATTGGATTTATCTGCCAAACAAAAGGAAAAAGAAACAATATGAAACAGACCTTAATACCAAAGCAGAATAATCCTGTGAATATCATATGTTATACTGAAATAGATTTTCCTTGAACAATACAAAATTGGTTTTTCTCCCCCCTTATAGCTGTGCTCAATATCAAACTGAAACAACTCAAAATTAGGGCTGGTATATGAAATACAGTCATCAGAAGGCAGCCAGCACTTATAGTCATAGCCGAGTCTAAACTAGCACATGAACTCTGCAAAAACAGAAATTGCTGGAGAAACTCAGCAGGTCTGGCAGCATCTGTGGGAAGAAACCAGAGCCAATGTTTCATTACATATCTCTCAAATCTCTCATGTAGATCTTTTACTTTGGGCTCCATGCCCACATATCAGCTCATGTGTTGTCTTGCACGTGCCCCCTCTCCCCACAACTTCGGCTTCAACATAAATACCAGTTTCTCCAATCTACTAACAGTGCTGATGAAGAGTCACCAGACATGAAACATTAACTCTCCTTTCTTCTCACAGATGCTGCCAAACCTGCTGAGTTTCTCCAGAAATTGGTGTCTTCATTTCAGAGCTTGGGCATTCAAACTTCTTTGTTTTATTTCACCTGAGCTGGGCAGATGAGATGGGGGGAGCAGGAACAGAATATGTATGTAACTTGATTTGCAACAAGTAACTTACTTTCTGACTCCCCAAAACCTGTTCACATATACAAGGCAGAAATCAGAGTGCGACCAGTGATGCTCATATCCCATTTATCACAGGAATGAGAAAAGGTTTTGTACTGGTTAATGAGTACATTAATGAGTACATAAAAAGGAATGGTCAGAGATCAGGGAAAAGGAACACAGCACTTCAAAATTCAACAATTAGTAAATGATAAAGCTGCATTTGCAGGAGTCAAGCAGAAAGACTTAGGGTCAATTAAAAAAAGACAACTGCAGATGCTGCAGAACCGAAGCAAAAACAGAAATTGCCAGGGAAACTCAGCAGGTCTGGCAACATCTAAGGAGAGAAAACAGAGGTAACATTGAGTCCAGTTCTGAAGTAGGGTCACTGGACTTGAAATGTTAACTCTGTTTTCTCTCCACATATGCTGACAGACCTGTTGAGTTTCTCCAAAAAGACTTGGGGTTTCAGACACATAAACAAGAACAAGCTGAGATACTGTTTTAAAAATACATTTTTATAGATTGGAATGCAAAGGGCTTATTCTAAATCTAGTCTTGTCAATTGTTGAGCTGCAGTTAAAACACTGGCCTGGATTTTGCTGAGATTGACAAAGAAAAAAATTTTCACCATGCAACTCATGTACAATGACTGAAGAGCTTGAACAGGTTCGTCAGCAGTAATAGGAGTTCAATTTAGTTTGAATTCAGAGCCCTCCATGAGGAATCTGTGGGCAGGATAAGCCATGTGGAGGATTGTCAACCAGACTGAAAAACGTGCACTGAGGCACAAACCATAAAACAGTAAGTTAAAAATAGTAAATGTAAATTACTAAATTACTAAATCATTTTACACAAAGCAAAATAAAGACAGATCATACAGATGGGATAAATATATAAAAGAATAAAACAGACAAAATAAAAAAGCAACATTAATTTTCTTTCGAGAAAATGAAAATTCCATGCTTTTCAAATAAAAACCAAAAGAACTGCGGACGCTGTAAATCACAAACAAAAACAGAAGTTGCTGGAAAACAGCAGCAGGTCTGGCAGCATCTGTGAAGAGAAATCATAGTTAACGTTTTGGGTCTGGTGACTCTTCCTCAGAACTGATGCTGCCCTCTCCACAGATGCTGCCAGACCTGCTGCTCTTTTCCAGCAACTTCTGCTTTTGTCCATGCTTTTCAAATTCACTTTTCAGGGCCAGAGAGGTTGCAAGCCCCAATTATTTCTTATTACACAGTCAGACACTCAATTGCACTCGACTGAACAAACTCAAACATTTTCAGGCAATTTAAAAGTGAAAAAGCAGACATTAGCCTAAGTTTATGTATGTCAGTGATCTAACCATCAGCAAATGCATGCAACAGTACAACGTGTGTTGGGATGAGACATCATGACCAACAGCAACATCGAAATCTCTATGTTTAAAAGCACATGTGCAGAGGCCAGAAGTTTTAACCAAGCAGGAAAGGTGAGGAGCGACAGTCCCAATGTCATGAGTTCTGCAAAATCTAACTCCGTGCCCAGTTTTGGGCACTACAGCAGAGGAAGAATGCCAAAATCTTGAAAAAAAAGAGTGTGCAGGAGAAATTCATTGGAAGGATATTGGGGCTTGGAAGCTTTGCTGCATGACTGAGTAGAGAAAACTTTCAATGAGAAGGCAGAGATGATGGAGTTGTTCAAATTTATAAAATGCTTTGATAGAAGCAGGATCAGGGAATCTTTCCCATCAATGAGAAGTTGGTAGCCAGAAACATCAGTCAAAATTCCTGGAGTTTTATCCTTCCTTAACTTCAGTGGAAGTTTTGAACACCTGCCATAAATTGCCAGAAACAGCAATTTATCCAGAGAAACAAAAGTTATTGTGAGAAATCAATTCCAAATGCATACCTCTAAGTTCATTGCTGGATGAATGAATAAGAAAGAATTGATTTAAGGAAGAGAATCAGTTGGATATGGAATGAACACCCACCAATAACAGCCATGGGAACAGGATACACAAAGCTTTTAAAAAAGCAGGCTAAAAGCTAATTCGAAAAATGCATTTTTTGAAGAAAATGAACTTTTTTTTAAAATTCTTTTGCAAGAGGAGAATTCTGCTGGAAACAACAATGGTTTATTGTTCATCCCCAATTGCCTTCGAGGTAATGGTAGCAAACCACCTTCTTGAATTGTTGCAGTCCATTTGGATTTTCAGAAAGCCAACACAAGGTACAATCTAGACAAATAGCTCTTTACAGTGCTATAACACTATATTGCTAACATGCATCTTACCAATGGATGCTTGAGGGCTATCGCCTTTCTCCCCTTCCATTTCGTCTGAAACATTTCTGCGAAGTACGTTGAGCGAGCATTCAATACGCAGCGATGAGCTCTGAACGTTTGGCCATGAACGAGGAAGGAAATGTCACTATAATACCCTTGTTCCAATAATCTACTCATGGGAACAAGAAAAAAAATGATTAGCACTGCTGATTGAATTGGAATGTCACAACATCCATCTGTAGCCGTTTTTATCTTTCTGTTTTTCCTCTGTGCTCACCAAGGCAAGGAGTGAGGGTCAATTTTTTTTTTAAAACAGAATGGTTTGTGTGTGGAATGGGCCTAAAGCAGGCAGGTGGGACTAGTTTAGTTTGGGATCATGGTCAGCAAAGAAATAAATTTTGAAGAAGCCCAGTGTCATCATCAGTAACTCCTAGGCCATTTAAGCAGAGTTAGATCAGCAAAAAAAGCACAATGATGTGCCCCAACTGTGTACTGCATTCCCAAACACACTCCTACTGTAACTGTTTGGTATTTCTCCTAAACAAATCAAAACATTCTTGATGTGGAGGTGCCAGTAAAATCACCTGATGAAGGGGCTACATTCCAAAAGCTTGTGATTTCAAATAAACCTGTTCGACTATAACTTGGTGTTGTGTGACTTCTGACTTTATCAAACCATTGCTGCAGATTGACGATGCCTAGAATTTCAAAAACCTGATACAGGAACAATAGCCTCTTTGCTCCTGTAAAATTTTATGGATCCACGGAGAGAGAAAAATTAGTTCTTAGAAACCATGAAGAATACACTAGCTGTTAAATGAAGTGTAATTGCGCACAGATACAGACGTTCGAAATAATTTGATATCCACTTGAAAAGATCTGGTTAAGAATATAGCAAGAACTTGCTTTATGGCAAACACTTTGCTGTTCTGAGAGATGGAAACATATAGCATTGATACATTTAAGGAGAGACCTGAACCACACACAATGAAACCAGGAAGACAGTGAAACAAGGGGAGAGGAAGAAAGCATATGATTAGGTGAAGACTGAAACAGGGCAAGTTGGACGTAAAGGCCTATTTCTGTGTTGAGTATTGTGACATGATAATTGTGCCCAAACTAACAGCAGCTAGCTGTCCCATGACCAACACAAAAAGACACAGATAACCCAAACTCACTGCTCTTAGGATACTTCTAAGCAGTAGGAAGGAGGATGAAGAACAACAACTTGGATATTTGTTTCCTTTCCAAACAAGTGTCATATGGGACGTGTGTCTGCACAGAAACTGTCAGTCCTGCTGAATCTCTCCAGCACTTCGTTTTTATTACACATTTCTCTTCAGAAATGCTCCCAACTGCTTCACAGCAAGTGAGACACAAATAAGTGAGACTTTCAACTTGTTACTTAACTTGTGTTACTTAACAGGAGTCACCCATTCCATATTCCTGGATAACACTTAGCACAGCACTTGTATTACACAGACTGGCTGGAAAGGACAAGCCTAAAAGGAGGCAGAACGTGACTAGGCTAGGAAATAGTGAGCAAGCAAACTGAGCCGACTTTCTCAGGCACAACCAGTTCAACTGGTTTGTGTTGATATTACCACTGATGAAAGTAATCTAATTAGCAATTAGCAAATATAAAGCATCATGAACAAAACATTTGTTACTGTAATCAATGAGACAATCACAGTCTTGCAGTGATTTATGAAAACCATGTTTATGTTATACTGTAGCTGCCTGTTTATACTGCCATAGAATTTGGTTCTGCAGGCCAAAGGGGAGATCTTCATGTAGATGCTTACACTGCAGGCAGCGAGCAGAACACAGTGACCCAAGGTACAATTAGAACCCAAACAGAACATTTCAAAGATTTGGAGAGCAGGAAACGGGGGCATACACAAACTCTTTTTCAGTTTCTCGAAACCCATGTAGCCCACATGATTGCACCACACACTTCAAACCTGCTCTGACACTGCACTGGAACTGTATTTAGTCATACCTAGCTGAGGGAACTGCTTTTGTAACAACGCACATGTGGCCACACACAACAATTTAGAAATGTGCAGTGTCCAGAAAAAAAGAGAGATATGGGAAAGCAAAGACCAGGAAGGCGCAACCTCAATGACAAATAACAAACCGAAAGAACTGTGGATGCTGTATATCAGGAACAAAAACAGAAGTTGCTGGAAAAGCTCAGCAGGTCTGGCAGCATCTCTGAAGAAAAAATCACAGTTAATGTTTCGGGTCCGGTGACCCTTCCTCGGAACTGGAGTTCTATGGAAGGGTCACCAGACCTGAAACGTTAACTCTGATTTGCTTTTCTTCACAGATGCTGCCAGAACTGCTGAGCTTTTCCAGCAACTTCTGTTTTTGTACTTCAATGACAAAGTCTGGCTGGCAATAGTGGTGTGAATGGAAGAAGGTGCAGACGAGGTTAGGTGGACGAATGGAGTTCTTGGGGACGCAGGTTGTTTGTATTTGTGTGCGTGCATCTTTGTTTGTGGGCAATGCAAAGGATACGAAGATATATAAAACCATCCTTCAATCCCTGCTCTGCACAACAGCATTTTATCCTCTCACCCCAGAAGACCATCCTGATAAGTTGCTGAATTTACATCAAATGAAACAGAACTTTTTGCTGATTTCCTACCGTTGCAAAAAATCGTCATAATAATCTCTCTGCAGCGACTTGGCAGTGATTTGTTTGTAGTCCTTCAGCAGCCTCCGAATAGAATCATTCAGAGCACCGTACAAGCACCGCTCCCCATCAAATGTGTTGGCTTCACATTTTGCTCCTGTAACACATTCAATTTCAGTTTGAGAAGATCAAGGTTTTAGAATCACTGATCATTTGGGTAGACCAAATAAGAAATTAAACAGTTGACTCAGTGACGATTAATCAGTTCTATGAAATTAATATTCCAGAATGTACAAGTGATTGCCTTTAAATCTAATGCCACATACAGAGTGCAGTTTTGCCTCATTAGAACAGAAATTCATCAAGTAAATGTCAACACAAAAAATATTACAATTTATCCATTTAATTCTTAAGATTTAGTTTTACCTCCACTTCCTTTGAGATCATGACTCTTTCTCAGTTACATAATGCCTGAGTAACCATCCCAATAACGAAACAAAAAATTAAACCTAACTTTTACATAGCTGTTGCACAGTGCACAGCTTCTAGTGCTCACAAAACCTGGAAGCAGTGTATTTTGTAAATAAATGTTAAAGTGCAATTTCGTTGAGAATTTTATGATCAACAGGTGGCAGTAGATTGTTGTTCGAGAATGTTTCCAGTTTCATTAACAAGCACTTCGAGGCCAAGTGCAAAATGTCAAAACAAAATATGAAGATTCATATCAAGAGGAAAAGGATGAATTATCAAGCAGAAGTGAAAGTGGAAAATGGAATAGACAGGATTTAATGCAGAATAAAGCTTATCCTGCACTCCACTGACAATTCCCCCCACGGTCTCAAATTCACTACATCAAATGTGAAATCCTGGCACTTGCCACACTAGCAGGTCATCCGCTGGCCACTTTGAACAATTTAGTGGTAAATTAACAGCAGTTCTGCACTGTGGGCTAAAGAGAGAGACACAGAATAGTACAGCACCAGAACAGGCCCTTCAGCCCATCATGTTTGTGCCAACCACGATGTAATTCTAAACTAATCCCATCTGCCCACATATGGCCCATTTCCCTCAACTCCCGACCTGGTCATTGGTCTGTCTGAATGCCTCTTAAACATTGCTATTGTATTTGCTTCTACCACCCCCGCTGGCCATATGTTCCAGGCACCTACCACGCTCTGTGTGAAAATCTTTCCTCACACATCTCATTTAAACTTTCCCCTTCTCACCTTAAACCTATGTTCCCTAATAGTGGACATTTCCACCCTGGGAAAAAGACTCCAACTATCCACCCTGTCCACGCCTCTCAAAATTTCATGTACTTCTATCACATCGGCCCCTTACTTCTGATGCTCTAGCAAAAATAATCCAAGTTCAGCCAACCTCTCCTTTTGCTAATACACTCCAATCCGGGCAACATCCTGGCAAACTTCTTTTGCACCCTTTCCAAAGCCTCCACCTCCTTCCTATAGTGTGGCAATTAGAACTGCATACAATACTCCAGATGTGGCCTAGCTAAAGTTGTATACAGTTGCAACATGACTTGCCAACTTTTATACTTAATGCCCCAACTGATGAAGGCAAGCATGCTGTACACTTTCTTTACCATGTCATCAACTTGTTTTGTCATTTTTCAGGAGCTATGGACTTGGACCCCAAGATCCCCTTGTAGATCAATGATCCTAAGGGTCCTGCCTTTTACTGTATTTACATGGATTTGGAGACAGTAAGGCTTGCAGATGCTGGAAGCTAGAGTCAATACATGTGGAGCTAGAAAAGCCCAGTAAGCCGAAACATTGACTTCCCTGCTCCTCGGATGATGTTTGACCTGCTGTGCTTTTCCAGCTCAAGATTTACATGGATGGTGCCACAGTTAGAGGGTTTGACCTACAGGGAGAGGTTGAATAGGCTGGGGCTATTTTCCCTGGAGCGCAGAGGCCAAGGGATGACCTTTTAGAACTTCATAAAATCATGGAGGGGCATGGATAGGGTAAATAGTCAAGGTTTTTTGTTCAGGGTAACAGTGTCCAAAACTAGAGGGCATAGGTTTAAGGGGAAAGACTTAAAAGGGACTGAAGGGGCAACTTTTTCATGCAGAGGGTGGTGCATGTATGGAATTAACTGCCAGAGGAAGTGGTGAAGGCTGCTACAAATACAACAACTAAAAGGCATCTGGATGGGTATATGAATAGTAAGGGTTTAGAGAGATATGGACTAAGTGCTGACAAATGATTAATTTAGGATATCTGGTCAGCGTGGACAAGTTAGACAAAAGGGTCTGTTTCTGTGCCTGTACATCTCTAGGACTCTATTTGACATCCTAAATGCATACCCTCACATTTGTCCGGATTAAGCTCCATCTGCAAATTCTCTGCCCAACTTTCCAATTGATCTGCATCCTAAGGTATCCTTTGATAGTCTTCCTCAATATCCACAACTCCACCAATTTTTGTGTTGTCTACAAACTTACTAATCATACCACTAACATGTTCCATCAAAAGCATTTGCTTATATTACAACAACAGAAGTCCCAGCACTCATTCTGTGGAACACCACTGGTCACATACTCTCCGGTCAGAACAATACTCCTCCACAACCACCTTGTCTTCTATGACCAAGCCAATTTTCTATCCAACTTGTCAACTGACCATGGATTCCACTTGACTTATCTTCTGGAGCAGCCTATTACGAGGAAACTTATC